TTGTTACTGCTAAGGCTTCTGACCATCCAGTGAGAAAACAAGAGCAAGAAACTGCACCAACGGGCAATGACAAGGCTGGCGCCGAAGCCCTAAGCGCTCACTTCCTGCCTGCTGACCAGATAACTAACACTGCGTCACCTATGTACTGGACGGTTTTCAGCATTTTACCCGAAGGCCCTCATTTTGCTAACGACAAATGTGAGGTGTTTTGGTTTTTTGAAACGTGATCTTTCCCAGTACACTTTTAAAGGTCTTAAATTTGTTTCCCTTATTTGGCCAACTTGAGTTTTTGTGAATTTCATTTTCAATTTTAATACCTGTTTACAACTTGATCTTTCTGAAGCAAGGTCTTTCTAGGTTGTTCAGGCTGGTCTTGAACTCCAGGGCTCAAGCGATCCTCCCACCTCTGTGTCCTGATTAGCTGGGACAATGGGCACATGCCACCATGGAACTCAGAAAACTTGAACTTTATTAAAAAAAATTAACCAAGCCAGGCATCGCGGCACGTGCCTGTAATACCAGCACTCTGGGAGGCTGAAGTAGAAGGACCACAAATTTGAGCCCAGTTTGGCAAAACCGGCAACTTAGTAAGCCCTTGCCTAACAATAAAAATGGCTAGGGACGCAGCTCAGTGCAAAGGTCCTGGGTTAAATCCCCAGGGCCAGAAAAAAAAAAGTCAATAAACAAACTGCAAGGATCTGTTAGTAAAGATCTTAAATAACTGTTTTCAAAAGTAATATACGACTAGGTGCAGTGGCGTGGGTGTAGTGACTAGGTAGGAGGATCATCAGGAGTTTGAGGTCAGCTTGGGCTGCATAGTGTGTTCAAGGCCAGTCCGTACTATATACAGACCAAGGCCCTGTCTCTCTCAGTCAATCAATCAGTGTAATATGCAGATTTCTGCCTGTAGAAGTGGGAAGGATCATCATTCCTTATCTCTAATAAAAGTTCACAACTTCATCTTTGAGACAAGTTCTTTCTAGGTTGTTCAGGCCGTCCTGAACTCCTACGCTCAAGCAATCGTGCCACCTCTGGCTCCTGTGTGGCTGGAGGGTCTGCTGTATTGGTTTGTGTTGCTCAAGGCTCTGCTATGCCAGTCATCCTTATCTGCGCCACTCTCGAGGGGGCTGCCGTCTACTCACCTGTATCAGGAACCCTCTCCTCCTCCTCCTCCTCCTCAGTCCCTAGGAAGCCTTCTCCTGATGTTTACCTCACACAGAAACCTAGTTCATGTTTTACTAGCTAGTACTTAACTTATTACTAGATTTAAGAGCCTGACTTAAGAGTTTTGGCTTTTCAGAGTGTGTGTGTGTGTGTGTGTGCGCGCGCGCGCGCGCGCGCGCGCGCACTTCTTAATAAGAAACTTATAGTTAACATAAAATTTCAACAAGGTTCAATCTACCCACCTATACTTTTTGCTTCACAGAGCTACAATTGAATTTTTTATGACTCTTTACATTTTACTTTATATGGCTCACATACAGTACATGTAGTTCATCATTTTGGAGGACTTGAACGAAAAGGTTGGTAAGACACTTACTGGGACCCCATCTGCAAGCAGTGAGGTGTGAACAAACAGCTTCCATGTGAGAAACAAGCAAACTTTAAAAAGTCTTAAAGATGTGGGCTGGGAATTCAGCTCAGCAGCACAGCTTCCACTTTTAATCTCTGTTTTAATGTTTAGTGATAGTACATGTGTATAAACAGCTTTAAATCCTGTTTAGAACAAAGCAGTACACCACCGAAAATCAAGGGGAGCCCCCTTTTAGGACCCTTTCTAGGATTCAGAACGATTTAACACTCTGGGGAGAACGGTATATGTACTTGATCACTAAAAAGTTCAGCATGCACTAAATCAAGGGCTTTTATCCATCAGAATTTAATTACTTTGACTTGATCTTGATCAAGTGACCAAGGGCTGGCAAATATCTTATTTGAGGCAGGATCTCACTCACTATTTTGTCCAGGCTAGTCTGGAATTTCTAGGCTCAGGCAATCCTGCTGCCTCCTGCCTCAGCCTACTGTTGAAATCTTTTGACTAGGAAGTCTACTGCTATGTGGCTGAGCTGATGTTTCTCAGAGGTACATATTCACCACATGATTAGAAGATCATTACTAAAACTACAACACTCAGTAAATTTTACAGGGCACACAACTCCTTTCCGAAGCAAGAGACTGGAGACAGACCCGACTCAGCAGCTAAAGTGGAACAGCAAGGGCAGGCTACCACTTGGGTTTATAAACTACCACAAAAAGTCGCTGTATTGTAACAGTGCAAAAAGGTCACAGGAGAATTCTGACCAAGATCACGGCATCTACAGAACTTGGAAAGGCTCAAAAAGGTGGTGAAATCTCTTCCCAGGGAAAAATACTGCTGGTACACTTAGCAGGAGGATGGGGAGGGCAAGGGCCCACACGGAAGCATTATCTAAGGGACTGCTAACAGTGGCAGAGGTACAGAAGGAAACGAATTAAAAATCTACTGACAAGACGGTAGGAATTAATACCATGATAGGTTATTAAGAAAGTGGGGAGAGAACAAGACTGTCACACACATAGAGGGCCCTTCAGGCTTCACTTCCTCTAGTACTTAAGCCGCAGCCTTGTCTCTGCATTCTAGAACTCTCGAAGCTCAAAATCCAGGGGAAGGAGGGAGTCCAGATAACCCACACACTGCAACTGAGTGTCCCGAAAATCGAAGAGAAAAAGGATGCACCAAGAGAGTCCCAAAGTACGGAAGAAAAGAGACTCACAATCCCATCTGAAATTCAGGCAACTGGGCAGGTATTTTCTTTCCAGACTTAGTAGAACTCCAGCACCAAAATGGTTCCTACTGTCCACAGAAAAGGACACAGTGGAGAATACCCTGAGGTCACTGAAAGCAGGACAGAGAACGCAAGCTCTACGCAGTGTGCGATGAAGTTTAACTGAAAACCTTCCTAGGCTAAGAGTAAAAAGGTATTGCCAGTGTGGCAGCACATTCAGGAGAGTGACGCAGGAGGACCTCCAGGAGTTCAAGCCCAGCTTGGGTACAGAGTGAGTTCAAGACCACCCTGAACTACATAGCAAGACCCTGTCTCAAAAAAAGGGCGTGAAGAGTTAACTGGATAACGTAAGAGTCACCGGGGATCAGCTTACTCAATCTCTATACCACTGACACCCCTGGCTGAGTGATTCTTTGCAAGGGAGGCTGTGCTAAGCATTGCATGGTATTTAGCAGGATCTCCGGCCTCTACCTAAAGACTACAACAGCACTCCCATCAGTCGTGACTATCAAAACCTGTTTGCAAAGACCACCAAACATCCCCCAGGGGCACAGTCACTCCCATTGAACACCACTGCTGTGAATGGAGCAAACAATGAAACAGCCGCCAGGCATAAGGCAGCCTCTTGGTAAGTAGCACTTCCAAGCCCTCTCCCCTCCTGGACCAGAAAACAGAAATACCACACTGGTAGGCAAAATGACACGAGCAATTCTGGCTACATCCAAATGTAAGGTCCTGAGTGGAGACGCCCAGGACACACTGGGCTGTATGAACTGGAACTGTGAAGAGATTCTGGCGCAGGAAACAGACAGAAAAGCATTAGCTGCACTAGCACCCCTGAGAAAGGCTTTGGCAAACCCTCAGCCGGCACGAAATCCTCTTAAGAGAGGATGATGATTATCCTACACAAGCTCTGCCTCGTGCCTAATTAAACAAGAAGCCCTTGACGGGTTTCATCCACCGCAGGGTAATACACTCTTGCACAGTTTTCACCTTCATCTGGACAGACTCGCCAGATGTTACGGTCTTCAGAGTAAACGCTCACGTATCTTCACTAATTGGCATGTTGCAATAATTTTCCCCTTTGGCACATGCTCCCTCTTTTGACTCTGTTCCCAAATCTATTGTCCTATATTCTGTCTGTTCTGAATAGGTATTTGTTCTCTTCTGCTGCAAATACATAATTAGTAAAAGCAGATGTAATTCTCAAAATTAAGAAGTACACGCACATGAGTTTTCCAACATTATCATTAAAGACATTCTGTACTAAACTCTCAGGCCATGCTGATTACTTTTTCTCTTCAACAGAAACCTCTCTAACAGTCTGAATACACCTCCATTCAAAAGCGTATTTTCCTGAAAGTCTGTTGTGGATTGACAAAATTTATTTACATGTAATTCCCCGAGACATCAGAAGATACATTTCTACATATGCAGAAATTCACTTGTGAAAAAACTTACTCAAAATGTTCTTATGAAAAGTTGCATTTTATGAAAAATACAGTGGTAAAGAAACAATTTTCCTAACTTAAGACATACAATCTGGTTAACAAAACACAGTCAAAGTAAAATCAATCTGAACGGTAAACAGGAATACTTTGCATATATTTAGTTTAAATTGGCTTTCTTGTGCAAAGACTTTGACTGCATGGTCTTTAATTGTATTAACTAACTTAAATTTTTTAGTAAATGAAGTTCGAAGTTTGCTTTAGAATAGTCACTTCAAATATCAATAAATTCACAGAATTTTCACCCAACTCACCTGCAGTTACATCAGACCAATATACTGGCACTCAATCAGTAAGGACAGGCATAAAAAAGGACGGCAAAATTTCCTTTCACAGGTAATTAAACAGCACAGACAAAACATAAATCCACATATATTCCAGAAAGCAAAATTAAGTTTAGGGTTTTCCTGATCACAAATTAAATATTTAATAAGCAGACTTTAGAACCCACTTTTTTTACGTAATCATTATTTTTGAAATATATGCATATCGCTGAATCAAGATACCTGTAAATATCTGCTTTTCTTACTATGATCTTTAGACTGAACTTATAAAATCAGATTCAATTTTTATCACAGAAAAGTATCGCCCTCTTCCCACAATCCCACCCTTTCCCCACATAAGAAAATGTAATTACGCCCAGCTTACTGTGTGTTCTCCAGCAAATCTTTTCATTTAACGTTACAACACGGCTGGAGAAACAAAAGACAGAGAACTGTTTTCTTACCAATCCACCGCTGCAGAACCCAAGAGGAGTTCAGGGCACGAGCAGAGAGCATCCTTTCAACAGCTGGTGGAAGTCTCTTCCAATTAGTAAATTCCAAAGTGAAGATAAGGGCGTCCTCATTGACTGAATCCATCCTACATTGGCAAGACGTTAACATGCCATCAGACACAAAAGATACCAAGGGCTCATTCTGGAAACAAATACCGTAATATTTATTCCAACATCTTGATGAGGAAGGCAGACAAAAAGTGGCACAATGAATAGTCATGTGATTGAAAACCAGTTAGATGGATGCAGTTTTATGTAGCTTGGTCATCTTTGTTTTTGTCTGTTTGTTTTTTTTCCCCGTATCAGGAATCACACTCACAACCTTGCGCTTGCCAGGCAGGCACTGTGCCGCTGAGCTAAATCCCCAGCCCCCTGACACAAAATTGAATAGTTATGAAAGGATAAAGCCAAAGCACACCAAGTTATTGCTAAACGGAACATACAAGAGAGAGGGTATGTTTCTGCTCAACTCACAGGGACATACAGCAGTTCTTTAAGAACACTCATCAATACAGAGTCAGAACAAGACTTGTGTTTAAGGACTGAATGAAGGGATACCATACAAACAGCTCTGCCTCAAAATAATAATCATATTCCCTACAACCCACCCGAAAAAGGCGTCCCCGCATTTTTAAGTGCTGGTAGCCTAATGGAAAGAGCACTGGTGTAAGCGAAGTCCTGCTTTTAACATGACCTCTAACACTTACAAACATGTCTAGATTCTTAAGCCCTAGCTCCTGCTCTCTAAAATGAGAATAATATATAACCTGCCTATTTCAAGAAACTATATATAAAAATAATATAGTACAATAAACATTTTTTAAATTATGAAGTGTTATATATTATTTGACATTACTAGAACTAATATAAAATCTTCAGCATTATTTTTCAGGTCTCATACATTATACCCACTAAATTTGATCAAATATTACCCATTTGCGCTCAATTAGAGACCCTCTACCATCACATTTTTTGAAGCAAAATAACGTTAGTAGGACCTCTAGTAATTACTAGAAAAATTCTTGATAAGGTCAATTCTTTGAAGACATTACTAAACAACTGAATAGGGAAAAGAAAGAAACTAACCAATACTCTAAATATGTCATCTCAAACACCACTTTTTTGGGTAATTCAAAGTATCCCTGAAATGACTACAGAGTGTATGAAAACTATTTCCCAAATTCTTAATTTGCCCAACACACAAACATACAAGGAAGAACTTAAAATGTTTGCTTTCGGAAAACATTTTACCTCTTACTCTGCTCTCAGTGAAATCACAATTTATCAAGAAATACTCAAAATAAGTGAAATGATAAGATACAGTCAATGGCAAACAATCTCCTTGGTGTTCTAGGAATACCATAGCAATGGTCACGTGGTTCTGGTTTCTTATTTCTTTTTTAAAGGTTTCATTTCTCTACCTTAATGTGCCATAGGTCTTACTGCAACCCAACACAAAATCATTTCTTACTCACTTACCTGAACACACGAGAAATAAATCTGTTTCCACAGCCTTAGTTAATGTAAGTTTATCTTACCAACACTGATAATGCTACGAAGATGTGTTGCTATTCTGTACTACACTGACCATTACATTGTGCAGAGCAGCTGTATAATCATGAGTGATGGTGAACCAACACAATGCACAGATGACATTTGCTTTCTATTATTCTCCCGTTACATTCCAGGAGGTACTAGGGGACTTAGTCTTGCATTTAAAGTTGAAAAATATTTCAACTTTATAGATTACACTGTGACAGGCAATTATTCAGCCAGATACACTTTTAAGACTGGTTAAAACAAGGAACACCTAGGAAAGACATTTATAATTTATATGACAAAGATTAAACAGCAGACTTACATGCAATATAAATAAGAAACAACCAAAATCCACTGTAGCAACATACTGAAATTTTCATGGAGAATTTTTTTATAACAGCTCTCTGAATGTAAATTTGATCAAAGAAAGCAAAACATTCATCATATTCAACATAAACACTGACTTTACCCATTTAATAAAAGATCAGTGAACAAAACTTTGACCATGTTAAGCACCTTCTGAAATGAAATTCTCCACTATGTTTTTTTGTAAGGAATATAAAATGACTAAGTTCTTCCTTGGTCATAAAGTATATGCAAAATCGGCATTCTGGATTGAGAGAGCTGAAAGTTTTACAACTTACTTTAGGATAATTTGTAATTTACTGGTTCTTAAGTATTTCTTATTCCAACACATGCAGAAGCTTATTACCACAAAATCCCCAACTATTCACCTTGGGGTAGGAGGCTGCATCAGCACTGGGGAAAGAAGAGTGTATTTTAAGAAGCTTTTAAAAGGATAAAGCTGAAGACGTTTCTCTCCTTACACGTAGTCTATCTAGTTGGCTAGAGAGGAAAGGGAAAAGATGAATGTTTACTTCTTTTCTCCTGTGTAGGTTTTTCCTAACTTAGAGCAGGAAACAACAATAGAAGGTGGCACGAATCCTCCCAAGCTGGGGATAGAATTGAAGTGCTTAACATTAAGTGACCCAACTGCACATCCCTGTGGACACGTGAGGCAGGCTGCGAGCACAGTGGGGAAGAACACGGACTCGAGCCACACTCCGGGCAGCCGAGTCCACACCTAAGCTCTAGCACTGCAGTAACTTGCTCCGAGAACTCGCGCAAGTACGTGGACTATCTGGCCTCAAATACCTCCTCTGTAAAGTAAGTGCAGAGCTGTACTTGCACCATTTTATAGAGTTCGTATCAGTAAAGAACCTAAAATAGTTCTTACTAGTAGCGTCAGGCAGTCATTTTAAGCTTTGATCAAAGAAATACGTTAGAAATCGGAAAGGATCACGGGGCTGAGCATCCCGGGCAAGTCACGCGGAGCCAAGAAACAGTGTCAGGAGACAGACGCAGTGTGCGGAGAACGCTGTGCTGGGTACGGGGTCAGGTGAGGGGCAGCTGCGGGGTACCCCAGACCACACCGGTGGACTCTCCCTCGCACCTAGTGGCTCTCCGCTGTGGGAAGAGAAGACCCGTATGTGGCAGTATCCCGGCACCTGACCTTTTCACTGTGTCTCCCCTTCCATGGAATTCACGAATTTTCACTAAGCAGAAGGCGTAGGCTTTGGACTATCACCCCTTTCTGACACTATCACACACACCCTCCTCCAACACACAGATCTCAATAAATGGGGGAATTCTAGCTAGCACAGTCACGCAGAAAGGGCAAGGCCTTTACGGTGGGATTTCTTACCAAGAACTGCAGAGTAGATTCAGTGGGTCAAATCCAGCAAGCAGAAGATGTGGCAGCCACTCCTTGTATTTTGCTTGTGCTTTAACTGCACTATTTATAAACTCAGTTATATGGGTCCACGGTGCTAACGGTGCTTTCTTCAAAAAGTAGCGAAATACTGAAAATTTCTCATACTTCAGACAATACGCCAAATGAAGTTCATTTAGCTGGGCTCCATATTTCAAAAGAATATTCACAATTCCAAGGAACTCACAGCTGCACCACAAACGTTTTTTTTTTGAAAAAAGGAAAAGAAAAAGAAGTAGTCAGACTTTCCCATACTAAACAATACTTACGGACTGTTAAAGGCGCACGTGAAGACGAGGGAGGGCTTTTGTACGTGCTCTGAACTGAGAAGAGACAGCAAGAAGAAAAATTTCACTTTTACTTTTTAAAGCCTCTGCACTGTCTGCCGTTCTTAGGTGTGAGCAAGTATTATTCTTACAACAGAAAAAGTTGTCATGAATAAATACGTATTTTTACAAACTGTCACTAACAAACAATTCTCTCAAACTGTCATGTATTTGTACAGTTCAGTGTAAGTATCTGCTGCAACCTATTTACTAAACAAAGTTAGTTGACATGATCAGTTCCTGGGACCCTCCGAACTACTGTTTCTGTTAGTCAATTTAGCCTTAGTCAACTTACCTCTTACTTTTTAGATTTCTAATGGGAAAAAATAAAGAGGAGGGGTTTTGAAGGAACAAAACTTCTACTTAAAGCTCTACATTCTAAAATTAATCCTCCTTATCATATCAAGCACTGTTATAGACTAGACATGTCATTTTATATGTATTAAATTGGTTACTTTTGTTCTATTTTAGGGAAATGTTTATTTGGGGGAAAAGTTTCAAATCCACTTCTTTTTGTTTGTTTGTTTTTTGTTTTTTTGTTTTCTGAGATAGGGTCTCACTATGTAGCCCAGGCTGGCCTCGAACTCAAAGCCTCAGCCTCGTGAGTGCTGGGATTACAAGCGTGCGCCACCATGCACGGCTCATTTCCACTTCTAAATCCCTTAGATATCCAAATAAAAATGTCTCATTTCCACCTGTGCTCTTACAATCAGATCTGTGAATGTGCATGTTTTTCTAATATGCAATTGAGTTTAATTTTTATTTTCATTTTTATTAACACATACTTGCAGTACATAATGATTACACTCACTGTGTGGGCTTCGAGGGAAGGGAAAAGAAAGGGCTGTAAAAAAAATTGGTTACTTTTTTAAAAAACTCCGATCATCCAATACTAGCAGGTTATGACCTCAAGTGTAACCCTTATTTGAAAACGCTGCTTGGCACGGTCATCAAAACAGGTGTACTACAAAGTTAGAAGGGTCACAGAGTCTGCAGCCAGCCCCTGAGCTGTAGCCTGAGGCAATTACCCAACCTGTCCGGCACACAGGACCGGTACCCTGTAAGTATCTGTGAAATAAATTGTAACTGAAAGATCATGTAAACTAAAACAAAATCATAAATACAAGTACCTCTGTTTAGGTAAATACATTTATGTAAATAAGCATCCTTAGGTAAATAAATGTAAAAATTTAAGTAAGCATGAAAATGTTCAGACTTCTTTTTATTAGTAACATAATCCTTGGAAATGTACCCAACAGATAAAATTCAGACATTATTACTCCATTTCATAAATATATTAACTATAGTATCATCTATCACCGACCTTAAAAGGGCATGACCTGAACATTCAACAATAGAAAAACAAGTCTAAGTATGACGTATTATGCAGTCATCAAAAACTGCCATTACGATGGTTGTGTTATCATATTTTAAAACTGCGATTATTTTAAGTGTAACAAAGTTCAGTGAACATTTATGTTCACTATGAAGACAACTGTGAGGAGGTTTACAAGAATAGAATTCATTTCCCCTTGAAACTGGCATTAACTCCATTTTAAAGTTATAAATTTTAAAATTTCATTATTCACAATATTATAGAATCTCAATAACTAGGCAGCATTTTATACTAAACTAATATAAAATGTTTAAACCATAGTCATGTGAAAGCAACTTCTTTGGAAAACTTATACATAAAACTTCAAATCAAGACTCCAGGCAGTTAAGACAAGATACAAATAAGTAAAATGTCTTCCAACCCATGCATGTCATCGTAAGTCTCTATCATTTATTTCCAATCTGTGCTTGCTTACTTTTGTTAAAAGATTAAACACTAAGCCAGATGGGGGGGTGCATGCCTGTAATTCCAGCACTCAGGAGGCTGAGGAAGGAGGATCTCCTGAGTTCAAGGTCAGTGTGGGCTACACAGTGAGTTCCAGGCCAGCCTGAACTACATAGCAAGACCTGTCTAGAAAGAGAAAGGGGGGCGCAGAAATAGAGAAATACAGAAAGGAACGAGTGAATGAGTGAATGAATAGATAAAAGGTAGACAGAGAATAAATAAAATAAAAACAAAGTTTAAACAGTACTCTCCTGTTATTTATAGTTATCAGAAAAAAAAATCTATAACTCTATAATTTCTGTGTAAAATTAGTAACTTTACCGCTTACCTATTTTACTCACTTCTCCTGATGAGAAACCACTCACTACTGCTGTGGAAACAACCCTGTGCCTACGCACTTCCTCCCTGGCTGCTCTGAGATACGCTGCAAAATTTCCATCTGCAGTCTTGCCCTCCGAAAAACAGTAAAGAACAGCCTTTGACTAGTGAGTCTTAACTGTTGTCACCAATTTCTCTCAGCCACTCCGACTCCATCTAGCTAAGCTCTCACTGTTTTGCCTACAGTTACTACTTGCTCATTCTGCTTATAGAAGAGACAAACAGCAGGGCGTGGTGGCACACACCTGTAATCCCAGCACTCCGGAGGCTGAGGCAGGAGGATCATTGCGAGTTCAAGACCAGCCTGGGCTACAAAGCAAGCTCAAGGCCAGCCTGAACTGCATAGAGAAACCCTGTCTCAAAAAAGACCAAAAAAAAAAAAGAAGAAAAGACAACCACTGTCAAACATGTTCAAGTTAAGTTTGGAGGGAAACTATGGGAAAAGCTCAGATATTGGCTTATTACAAGTATGATACTCAAGTCTCAAGACACCTGGCAACATTGCAGGCATGTGTGTTTATATGAGCAACTCAGGGACTGGCTGAATTCTTCCCACAAGCACCTGAAACCATCAACAGCCTAACGACAGATACTTCAGGTCTTAAAGACTCAGGCCAGAGAACATACTTTTGCTACAGAAGTACATGTTATCTCCTAAAAGCACCAGATTAGAATAAATGGTACACCTAAGGTACCCTAGACATTTTCTGTTCAAAAAAAAACAACAAAATCAAGAGGCTTTAAAACTAAAAAATGTCAACACAGTACCAAGACATAGGGTTCATGCTAAGAAAATTTTAAAGAAAGGCCAAAGGGGGCTGGGGATTTAGCTCAGTGGCAAAACACCCTGTAATTCCAAGCACTCTAGGATACTGAGTTTGGTTCCCGGTACCGGAGAAAAACCAAAAAAAAAAGAAAGGCCAAAGGATAAACCATCCATCTCCAAAGTGTGAGAGGAACACACATACATGTGGTCCTTTAATAGCAAACTTAATTGTTTGTATTTAGCAGATGCTACATTAAATGTGTCACGTGCAAGATCTGTCTTACTCCCACAACCTCAGGAAGTTTCTGTCTCCATTCTAGGTGTAAACTGATGCGTAGCCACAAGGTCAGTGACTGGTAGAACTGGATGGTGATAATACCAAACCAAACTCTAACAGCAAGCATGACACAGCAAATTTCTGAAATAACTCCAATGCAACTATCGTGGAAACTGAACACTCCGTGAAATAGTCAAATTGAGGACGTTTTTTCAGCTCCAGGTATTGAACTCAGGGCCTTTGCAGTTATATGTCCAGCCCTTGTTTTGTTTCGTTTCGTTTGTTAAGGCCCTGAACTGCACAGGCTAGGCTCAAATTTGAGATTCGCCTGCCTCAGTATCCTAGAGTGCTTGGAATTCCAGGGTGTGTCACTCTGCTCCGTAAGCTGAGGGCTATTCCAAGGTTAGGCCACGGTCCCCACAGCGTATTACATGGACGCTTAGTCCCTGTGGCCCATCCACAGGAAAAAGGCTCTCTAATGAAAACATTGAAGAAACTTTATACATTAAGCCTAGAAAAGAGAGATGAACAGGATGACCTTATTTTTAAGCAGTACGTTAAAGATATTTTCCAGTTATACACTCAATATTTTTTGTTAATCTCCAGATACTTTCCATTTTTTTTATTTTAAAGTTAAAAGAACAAAAACGTATTAACAAACACACATACATTTATAAAATGACACAAAAACAATATAAGCAATACTCAATTTCAGACAAGGTGATATAAATTAGCAATGCTTGTTGTATTACATATTGATATCTTCAAATTGGTTACTCAGGTAAACAAATATAGACATGGAAGATTGATCAAACACTTAAACATGAACTGTTCCTTTCAATAAAGCAAAAGAAGTCAGCAGTACAACTAGGCTAGCTGTCCTGTGTACACATATATACATATCTTCCCTTTCTTTCTTTCCTCTTTTTCCTCATCCTAGACACTCTTCAGAAGTACCTTTAAAATAAAAGCCATGGGGCCCACCACTAACCTGAAGATGTAAACTTAACCTACACTGTGAAACTTCTGAATCTTTGCAGCTCCCTTCCCCTCTTAGGAAGTCACAAAACACACTGCCAACCAGAAAACTTCTCAGAAGCCCTCCAAGAAAGAAACAATTTAACCCTGCTTAACACTGTTTCCCAAACTTATTTAACCCTAGAATTGCTTTTATCCTCTGTAATATCTACTAGCAATGGATAGAAAAAACATGCTACAAAACGTACTTTGGAAACCAGCACAAAACTGCTTCCAGTTACTGTTCTCCTACTGCCTTGCGTTAGAAGGGGCAAGAGTGTACTCTCAAAACCCCGACGAAACTGCCCAGAGCTACGCTGCAGATTCTCTTCCAACAAAACCACCACTTGTAGGGACAGTAAGTGTGAAAGAAACTAGATCATCACAGAACTTTGTCAGCACGCTCTGAACTGCTGCTAAGGCTAAGAGGATCTCAAGGACACTAGATGACCTTGATATTACACAAAACTGAGCATACGGCAAATTCTCAGGGTTAGATAACCTTCATCTAAAACATCAACTACATGGACATATCCATGTATTTCTCTTAACAGTCAAAAAATTTTCTATCATCCCTGATACTAAATTGGGAAAATTCCTCAGATCCTAGACTAGGAAAATTGTATCTTCTATTTAACACAAACATCAATAATTAACTATGGCGCATAAGTAAGGAGCACATTATATAAACAGTGAACATCAGATTCTGAAAAAGAGATTTAAAAACTAAAAAGAAGGTGGAAATGGTGGCATATGCCTGTAGTCCTAGCCTTTGGGAGGCTGAGACAGGAAGACTTCCATGAGTTTGAGGCCAGCATGGGCTACACAGCGAGTTCAAAGCCAGCCTGAATTACATAGTGAACCCCTGTCTCAAAAAATACATAAATAAATAAAATAAAAATCTAAAAGGCAGTCCCAACCTTATTTTGAAGCTTGTACACTTCCCCAAACTCTATTCTTTTAAGTTCAAAAATGTGCAAAGAACAAAACCACAGTGACCAAATAAAAGGACAGTAAGAGAAAATTCAACGTGAGTATAAAAATTCATTCTAAACAGAAAGGGGCAAGTATCTTCAGAATTTTATGTTTCATTAACCAACAAATACCTAACAAACTTAGGAGCCGAATGATCAAACAACCCTAAGCTTTACTTAAATGGCTTTTCACCACCGCTAAAAGCAACCGCAAGTATGAGCTGGGCCCTGCGTACTCAGTCACGCCACCTAAGGCAGACATAAGGGCTTCTCTGAAGCTAACATGATAACAACGGTCACTGCCAACTAGGAAGGCAAACCGAAAGCTAGCTATAATCTCTTTCTACAGCCAGATGTAAGTGGCATTAATATTTTTTCAACTTGCCCTGACATTCCTAGATTTTCTTCCTCCTTGCCCATTCCTATCAGAGAAATCTTTTTCTTAAAATTTTACCATTTCAATTAAATTATTCAATAGGGCCTTTGAAATATTAGCTTCTTATCACCCCGCTGTTAAGCTGTGAGCCCCCAGGAGAAAGGCTTCTTGCTGCCGGAGGTCTACATGGAGGAAACCCCACCCAGCACGGCTCTAAGGAGGGAGAAGAGCGAAGGACACACCTCCCAACCTCTTCAAACGGAAACTCATCCTCTCAAAACTGCCCCCCAAAATGTTTCAGAGCATGAATAAATAAAAGGTGACAAGAAATAGAGAAACACAGAAGATCTTTCTCAAATGGGAAGGGGATCACGAGCTGTTAAGGGAGACGGGGAGCCGAGACGGGGGTGGGTGGAGAAAGGAAGAGACGTGCTGTGTGCACGGACCGACTCGACACAAGCAACGCAAGCATTAGGGACCGCAAGCGCTTACTAACAGAATGTTTTTAACAAAGCCAGGCTTCTAACTGAAGCAAAAATCAAAGTTTGTTAGCTCGTGCTAGTGACCAAGGACCACCGAACTCCACAGAGCTGCTCCGCTATTTTTGTTTTACAGAATGATTGCGTTTGAGCACGGTTTTCTTTGGTTTATCCTGTTTGGGTTTAGGGAACTTCCTCCAGTCTGTAAACGTGTGTCTTTAATGTTGGAAAGCTTTGGGCCACTAATAATTTACGTATGTTTTCTACGCTCACTTTCTCCTCTGCTGGACTGCAAGGAAAGTTAGACCTGCTGACCCTGTCCCTGGGGTCCCAAAGCTCTGCCTTGACACTTTGCTGCCTTCTGCCTGCTCAGTTCTGCTATAGCTAGACACACAAGGTACACCACGGTGAGTCTTCTATCTTTTTTAATTAATAATTTAGCATTAACAGAGCTAATTAAGTTTCACCTAACAAAAAAAAATCATTTGGGAATATATCACCACATAAAAAAAAGTGAAATACAGAAAATATACCTACTCCTTTTGGAAAGCCATGCACATGGGAGAACTGAACCCAAAGACAGGGCACACCTGGGCGTCTGGGCCGTACCCATTCTGGAGAAGCAACTCCAGGCACTGCTCATGGCCTCCGAACACTGCTGAGTAAACAGGACTGACTTTGTCTGCTCCAGTTCCACAGATCCGATTAGTAAGAGGTATTAGTAAGTCCAAGATTCTACAAATACACAAATTCAGGAGCATTTAATGTTTCCACATGAATATTAACGTACAGGCAATTAACATAACATACATAAATGTATAGGCAACACAACTGAACATATTTTAAGAATTACTTATAAAAGGATTTAAAGAAGTCTTTCTGCCCCCTCTTGGTAATTTGTTTAAGACAAAATAAAACATTTCAAAACAAAGTAAGAGAATAACAAGTTAATACACTGTATATCATTATCTTCAACATAGTTATTCAGAATAGATGACATAAACCAAAAAGATTCTTACAGAAAAGAAACAAGTAACACAAAACTCTATCTTACCTTCTTTTAAATGACTACATGCTACATAGTTATTCCAAAATGCTACATTTACTGCTTAACATAAAGGTTCTTAAATATACCTGAACAGGAAGCAATGTTCCTATAGGTCATATTTTCCTTTTTAAATTTTTTCACTATTCGCCTTACCACCACCTACACTCCAATAATCAAATTTTATGTTAGATATTTTAAGATTTAATTATTTAAATATTTCTTATACTAGATATAAACTGGCATCATGAAAAATGAATGATTTTCTTCTTCAAGTACCAATTACTTTTACTTTTTCAGCTAATAAAAATTTTTAAACATGGTGAATAACATTAAGAAAAATGTTTCAGCCAGGCATGGTGGTGCATAATATAATCCCACCTGTCCAACCCTGAGTTCAAGGTTTGCCTGAACTACATAGTGAAAGCCTGTCTCAAAAGCCAAAAATATAATAATATCATATAATAATATATTACATTATTACTATTATTATTATCCTATATAATAATATAATAATAGTAGTAGTAATAATGTTTTCATCAGGCAGAAATTAAAATTTCTGCTAAAATATATTCCTGAAAAGCATATGAGAGCATTAAAATATAAACTAAATTTATAAAGAAGCTGGCTGTTTAGTACAGAAAGTTCTAAAAAGAGTCATTAATATGTAAGTTCTTATATTATCTGTAAATGTACTTTCAGCAATCAGCTGGAGAGGGATGCGACTAATTTATTCTTTCTAAAATTGAAAATAAAATACAACTATGGGATTCCGCCAGCAAGCTTCCCCCTTTCTGGGGGAAAGACAGACAGGGATACTCCAAAGTACTTCATAACATCATGCTTCTCTGCTCCTCTTCCCTAGGGAAGCAGACCATGAGTTCAAGAACTGACACTCACACGAAGGATTGCTGCACAGACAACACGCGGGAAATCATAAGCGCAAACAAGACTTCCCAAACTTGAATACAACTGAGGACTAAGACAGTTTTGCTATCAATCTAAAGCTCAGAGTATAACTGTCATCTAAGATTTATGCTTCAATAAATGACCAAGAATTGGGAAAAATAAACCCTAAGTATTTTGTTACAGAATCTATTTAACATCTCTTAAATTTAATAAATGTTTAATTTTTTAAAATGAGTTAGAAAAATTTATACTCTCTCACAAGACACTAACCATGCTTATAAATATCTTTAGGACACAGTGAAATACCACGTCACCCAGTGGTATAACAACCAAATTGTAGAATCTGTGTTCCTAATGTGTAAACACATTAAATAATGACCATTCTTATTTTTTAAACGAAATAATACTAACAATGCCTATAGAAAGCATGGCTGCAGAGTTACAACTTTGCACGGTAAACGTTTTGGTAAGATGGTAAATTTTTTTTAAACTTTTCAGTACTAATGTTAACAGGCAATCCTATTCTCATAGGCATAACCAGATTATCAGCTCTAAAGACTTCTATAACCCCTCTCCCATTAGCTGTCTCCAGAAACACCACTAATTTTATGAGAATTTTCGGCAAAGAAAGAGGAGTAGCAGAAGAAGGGGAAACCACCAGACTGGATTTGTAATTACATAAAGAAAGGTCCAGTAACAGGGTTCAAGATGGGGAGGACTACTCAGCACAAACAAAAGAAAAACTCCATTCCAACAAGGGGCACAAACAAAAACAGACAGGGGTCGGAGACAGTGTAAGTGACGAGCCATCAGACTGCCAGCTGAAGATGTCTGGGATAAAACTAGCAGAATGGGGGATAGGAGCTAGCGGGCAGGGGGCGGGGGGCGGGGTTAATGGCCATAACCAGAGAAATCGGAGGGAAGATTAAATACCGAGGAAGGCCCTGTAGCTTTCTTGTCTCTAGCCACTCTGCCTCAATGTAGCGAAGTGCAGTGTAAGATTAAGAAGGGCTAGCGATAGCACAGGAGACAAACTGGAAATAGATCTAGTCACCTAGGAGACCGGTTAAGGAAGGAAGTACCAAGGATGTGCTTGGAGGTAACAGTCTGGCCCAGATTTATTTATTACTGGCTTGCAATTATGAGACCGTCTTTATACTTTCACGCTTACTTTGTATGGCCCATTTGTGCAGCTGCGTGAACAGGTAACTGCCAGTTGTCCTCGTTACAGTAAAGATTAGGGTCCGCCCCACTGGACAGCAAAAGCTCCACACACTCTGTATGACCCTCTTGGCAGGCAATGAACAAGGGAGTAGCTTTATCCAAGGCCTGACAATTGACATTTGCACCTAACAAAAGGAAATATTGAACAGTCCTCATTTATGCTTTTTAAAAAAGATTAACTTTCAAAAAGAGATTAACCATAAAACAATTCCATGGTACAACAGCTTTTCCCCATCAGAGGATATTGTTGAATAAACATACTTATTTTATTAAGTTAGAGTCTATGAAGGCTTCAGAAATTCCAAAAATGCTAGACAGTTAGAATCTTCTTGACTTATATTAAATGGATCCTTTACCTACTCTCGGCTTCACAAACTTTTTTTTTTCAGAAACTTTTTCTTTAAACCAATATTCCATTTTAGTGACAACTTCAAAGTATTATAAAGATTAAGGACCCAATCCCTGTAAAACTCTAGGTGGAAAAGTTAATGAATAACAGACATTTCAGTGGAAGTCACTGTAAGGAGCTGGAGACACAGTTACACTGTAAATATAGTTACAGACCTTTTCCATTTGCTCTTCTAACAATTCAGAGGAGAAGGAAAAGAATGGAAAACAGAACAGGTACTTAGAGCTCTAAGTGACAAGAGACAGATTTGGCATAAAGAAAGAGCTATTAGTATGCAGTTTTGTTTATCAAAAATATTAGTTAAATACTAATAACTAGATGTTATAGGACTAGAATAAACTATCCTAATTCAGTTTGTTGTTTTGTTTTTTTTTTTCAGTGAAATGTCTGGTTTTTTTAACTTTTCCACCTGTATGACATAATAGAAAAAACATCAAAAGTCAGATGGTCTGAGTCTAACTACTGATTCTGCTGGGAAACAATTTCTACACCTTTGCCAAGGCACTGAGACACTCAGGGCCTGAGATTCTTAATCTACAAACACGTTTGCACAAATGATTGTGGAGATTCCTCTCAACTAGAATCATTATTTATACCAGACACTGTAACAAGGTACTTAGCAAATGTTTGTTTCTTTTACTTCCTACTTTGACATAACTATATGAAGATTTGTAAGGAAAAAAGCACAAATAAGAAAATATGTTTTCTGATGTCTAAATGAGCTTTGGTTTTCTTCTATTTGGAAGGTCTTGGTGGTGGTGGTGGTGTTTTGAGAAAGGGTCTCTCTGTATAGTTCAGGCTAGTCTTGAACTCACTATATAGCCCAGGATGGCCTTGAACTCATAGGGATCCTCCTGCCTCTGCCTCCCAAGTACTGGGATTATAGGAGTTCACCACCACACCTGGCTATTTGGAGTTAATTTTTTAAAGTTAAGTATTGAAAAAAATTTCCTGGCAGCAAATCTGTAGTATCCCCACTCCCTATATTATCCATATGCTTCATCAGGATAGCCCCTGTGAGAATACATACTTCAGTTGTAAGGGCATACACTTTGTAAGAAACTTTAAACCCCCTATGTAATAACGTGAAAATGCCATCTTCTCTGGTAACCTTGAATGTGCAATGGTTGTTACAAAAAAAAAAACCTTTAGTTGGTTTATGTTGCTATCAATGTAATAAAGTATAAATATGCTTTAAAATAAACCCATTTAAATAACCACACAATTATTAAAGCACATTCAAAGGATTAAGATACAAAATTGCCACATAATAAATTAATTAAGCCTGAACCAGTGTTGTGCCTGAGAAAGTTAGAACCACTCAGATCCTCTAGCAACAGACAGCTCCATCACTCAACCTGGCCAATACACCTACTTCAGTTACATACAGATTATGTTCCTACTCAGATAAACTAGGAATGCACACTGCACTGCTAGTAATTGACACTTAATAGCAAAGTTGTAAATCAACACATGTACACTCTTATTTACCATCTGCATAAAACTGTAAATTTTATAATCTGTATTTGAGTTAAGAATACCTTTTTAGGAAGATAAAACTTCATGACCCTAACAGTGAAAGGTGAATGGACTGATCTTACCTGAGGAAATAAGTATGTTCAAGCTTCCTAGCTTGCCATACTGGGCAGCCAAAAATAAGGGTGTGATTCCAAAGTCATCCCGGCACTCCTTATCTGCTCCTTCTCTAAGAAGTAACTTCATGATCTCTAGGTTTTCCTGAAGCACAGATTCATATTTTAAATAAGGGGAAACAACCAAATGCACCTTTTAGCCTTCTGTCTTATCCTCTCAGTAGGAGAAAATGATGAAAAGCATTAACTTAACAGTGTACTGTTGTACTGGTTGGGAAGGACACAATCAAACAATCAAATTATTCAAACTCTCTAGCTACCCCAGTAAACATAAACAGATTAAAAACTGATCTCTAGGAATTATAATCCTTTTAATATCCTCCGAAATTAATGTACTAACCCAAGCATGAAGGAGATATCACAGTTGCTAAACATTACTGTTATAAGTGATTTATATTTATCAATTTATGTCCCACATATTCTAATGGCTTCTTAACTATACTATCAACATTTAAAAACTTAGGTAATCCCTACAGCCCAAAGCTGCCACAGCTACTACAGCAGTCAGCTTATTCAGAATGACCATTAGCATTTAGACTGCCTTTCCAGTACTGCACTAACCATCATAAATCACAGGCAAGTAGGAAGCAAAAACTGTATAGAACTGTCATTCTTAAAGGGTAAAACACATAATTTACATGGAAATGAAATAATAAATTCAGAGATTACCTGGAAAGAAGCCTGGTGCAAGGGGTTCCAACCACACATAGAATGGGACCCATTAACATTAGCTCCGTGTTGAAGCAACAGCCTTAACACATCTATCTGTCCATTTTCAACAGCTGCAATACACCAAGTCAAAAAAATTACTGTCAGCAAAGAAGTGTGTCTGTGGGACTGGACACTTTGGTGATGCTCTCATCCGTTATTCACCTTGGAATTCACAATGCTGTGATCATTCCTAAACAGTTAGCAAAAATGTCTTCGCCTAAGCCTGCTTACACATACCGAATCCTTTCTGTACACACACAAAGTTATTCTTACAGAGAAAACAGAAGCAAGAGGCATTTATTCTCTCTGATAACGACGGCAACATGGTTCCAGTTTTCTAAAAGTGTAAGTAGAAGAGGACAGGGCAGAAAGTTCAGAAGACAAGGCTCTAAGCTGGAGAAACAGTCTCAAAACAGTTTGAAAGGTTTGCTATCATCACCACATGATCATAAATGATAAAAGAGTCCCTAACAATCTGCAAGGATGATTTCTATATATTAGGTATGTTTTTTAACCATCATAAACAATAATCACTGTTAAGATAACGTTCTTATAGCCATAAATGGAAATAGAGTGAAAGAAGGGGGACTCTATGTAAACCGCAGAGTGTTAGTAAAGAAGCACAAATCATTCAACTATAATAACTAAAATGAACGGTTCCCAGTCTGACGCTGCAGTGGAGTCTCTGAAGGGAAACTGTACGCTTATAGACACCCAGAAAGGGTACGCAGAAGTCATTCTCCTCTCTTTTACACACACAGTTTAAGATATGTTTAGTCCAGTACCATGTACATATTTAATAAATGCTACCTAGTAAAAATGAACATAGGTGTAACCTGTCTAAAGAACGTATTATTGAATTGATACAGAATGCAAGTAGGGATAAACTTTCCAGGATATGTGTGTACCGCAAGGCTTTGCTGTGGAGGTGGCAATAATCTCAGAAGCATTTAACCATGGGTCAATGAAAATCAGAATGCCAGTCCAGAATTACACACAGCAGTCCTCCTTATCCAGTTTCATTTCCTGCAGTTTCAGTTGGAATGGTAGTCAAAACAAATTACATGTACTATTCCAGAAATAACTAATTCATAGGTTTTTAATTGTATACTGTTCTAAGTGGTGCGATGAAATCTCGCACTGTCCCATTTCCTCTACCCAGGTGGGGCAGAAGCATCCTTCTGTCCAGTGTATCCACATAGTATATGCTACTTGCTCATCAGTCATTTTAGGAGCCTGGCAACTTTACTATATTATCATTTTATCATATACAATAAAATATATATTATTTTATAATATATTACTATATTTTATTTGTTGTCACATGCTGTGACTAATTTATAAATTTAACTTTATCACAGATATGCATTTGTAGAAAACACAGTATGTATATGTATAGGGTTCATTACCACCTGCAGTTTCAGGCATCCACTGGGCATCTTGGAATATATTCCCTGCATATGAGGTGGAATACTACAAAGCTATGTAAACACATATACATACTCATAAAACATTAGCAAATAAAATACACTGTGTAGGGGCTGGGGATGTAGCTCAGTGGCACATCACCTGCTTGGCAAACACAAGGTCCTGAGTTCAATTCCCAGTACCAGAAAAAAAAAAAATACACTGTGTCAAAAGTGTGAGGTTATTAAATGACTTCTTTAAATTATAAATAATACCTATAACAGAGCTGAGATGTATATAAGGAGTTCTAGCTTCCTGTGCCTGAGAACAGAAAAGGGATTTTAAAAGATTTTAAAAACGAGATTCTTCTTTTCCCCTTCATCATTTTTTTTTTTAAGAGATAGGATCTCACTACATAGTCCTGCCTGTCCCTGATCCTGCTGTGTTCTGCAGGCTGGCCTTGACGTTGGCTCCTCCTTAGGCTTCCACATAGTGGAATTACAAGCATGCACAGGCTTAAGATTTTTGTTTTCCATAAGGACTCTAGGGGCTGCGGATTTAGCTCAGCAGCACAGCACCTGCCTGGCAAGTGCTGAGTTCAATTCCCGGTACCAGAAAAAACAAACAAACAAACATAAGGACTCTACAAAGTTTTTTAATCAATAATTCTCACCAGGCATGGTAGCACACACCTGTACTCCCAGGACTCATGAGGCTGAGGCAGGAGGATCACTGTGAGTTACACTACATAAGTTCAACGCCAGCCTGAACTACACAGTGAGATCCTTTCTCAAAAAAAATAACAATTCTCATATATCAAAAAAATTAAAGTGAACATAGTATATAGATACTTGCATACCCTATTTAACTCACAACAGCCACGATATGGAATCATCCTAGGTACACATTAAAAGATGAAAGGATAAATACAATGTGTCATATATATACAATCGAGTATTGTTCAGTCAGAAAGAATGAAATCCTGTCATCTGCAGGAGAAATCTATGGAACTGGCGATCATCACGTTAAGTGAAATAAGCCCAACTCAGAAAGACAAGTACCCCGTATTTCCCCTAAGACATGCAATGCAGGGATGGGGGGCCGTGACCCGAAGGCAGGAAAGGAAGAAAGGGCCTGGGAAGGCGGCTGGAAGGAAACGTAAATGGGGGAGGGATATAACCAAAATATATCCTATGCAGGTATGAAAATGCCACAACAAAACCCAATATTCTGTAAAATTAGTATGTAGTGATACATACGTAAGGAAAAAATTCTCTTATATGAGAAAATTCTCATCATGGCAGTTTCAGAAATATAAGCTGTGATTGTGATAACACCACAGTCTGACATTACTTATTTTATTCTAAGTTAACATTCAACCATTTTTACCAAGGAAAGAACAGTGTTTTGAGTTATTTTTCTGTCACTGACCTAATTTGGGGTGCAGGTCACGATAGAAAGGGAAGAAAATCTGCTTCATATCCTATTCATGCACCAATGTCAGTGATTTCTGGCAAAAACCCTCCCGCAGCCGGAGCCTGGGCTGAAGACCATCGGGCTCCAGTGATGTCTGGAGCAGAAGGAAGGGGAGTCTGCACTCCAGGACTCAGGCTGACTACACAAAGACAGTGAAAAATTCTGTGTTGATTATTAAGCACTGTACAAAAGTCAGAAAGAAAAATTCTTTTCACTTTTAATATAAGTATATTAAGACAGCTGATTTCTGCATCTCTACTTGAAAGCATTTCCCTACTGAAAAAGAATAAAACCTGCGTCAGAAAACAGTATCTATTCCAAGTTCTCAAATATTTCAAAATAAAGCAAATTTAACTGTAAATGAGTGAAAAACAGTGGTTTAGAAAGCATATTCAGAGACTTACCACGAAGCCTCTCTGTGGAGGAGATGCACTAACCTTGCCTTTATCAAAGTGGAGAAGGGCATGCGCAGCTGGGCCTAACGGCATGAGTACAGAGAGGAAGTACAGAGAGGAAGTCCTACAGCTTCTCAATCTGAGATGAGCAAATCTCAGAGCGTATTTTAAAAGTATCCAGCATCTAAATTAGACTACGTAAATAGTTTACGTAAACAGATTTAAACAATCAAGCATCTATAACATTGGGTACTGGTTTTTTATGTTTTATTTTTTGTCTTTTTGAGACAGGCTCTTGCTATGGAGCTCAGGCTGGTCTTGAACGTTTTGTAGGCCTCAAACTCACAACCATCTTCCTGCCTCGGCCTTTGAGGGCTGGGATTACAGGCGTGAAGCAACACATCCAGCAACACTGGGTACTGTGGTATGCTATGGAGACTGGGAATACGTGAAGGGGGAATACCAGAGCTACGAAAGACTCCCAGGTGTGCTTCTGGCTTGACAGCAGCCCCGCCCGCCGTGAGCTGACGTTTACGCAGGGCAAGAGCGAGCGTGGGGAGGGGTACTCCGAGCACAGGCGCCACAGCTGAAGCCCAAGCGAAACGCAGACGACTAAGCGCGAGAGGCACAGACCCGAGTCCAAGTGGTTAAACCTGCAGGGTAGGCCCCGAGGGGGAGAACACCCGACGGGGAGGCCCCAGACGGAGGCCGGCGGCACACGTGCAGAGCAAGACTCAGCTTCCCAGGGAACAACTGTTAGAGATCGGGGATGGAACAGAGATCACAGGATCAGATGATACTGAGGGGGCAACGGAACTCTCCTGGGAATTCTGACCCAGCCAGAGTGCCGAGATCACGTTTTCTCTTGTTAATGCTCTGACCTAGCTAAAACACCCACAGGCAGAGCTCTGGGAGCGAGGACCACGTATGAGAGGAGGACCTCCGTCACTCAGCATAAAGGGAAGTGGAGCTTGAGAGTTGAATCCCGCCAGTTAGATGGGCCTGCCCAACATCTTAAACTCTTCACAGATCTCCTCTTAAAAAGCATAAAACCTTCCTAAGCAAGTTTAAGTGATATACAAGTAAATGACCTACTGTTTCAAAATCAACATTCCTGCCGGGCATTGTGGTGCACATCTGCAATCCCAGGGCTCGGGCGGCAGAGGTAGGAGGATCGCCAAGTTCGAGGCCAGCCTGGGCTACACAGGGAGTCCAGGCCAGCCTGAGCTACACAGCAAAACCCCGTCTCAAACATAAATAACTAAAAAAATAAAATCAGCATTCCTCAGAAGACAGTAACAGAACCCAAGTCTGTATAACGTCCTATATTCACAAATGTTCAGTACAGTAATAGTAAACAGTCAAAAGAAACTATCCCCAAGACGGCCCAGAGTTTGGGTTTAACAGATTAACTACAGCGGCGGCTACAGTCTGAACGTGCCCCTCAAAGCTCATGTGCTGGAAACTTGATCCCCAGTGCAACCGTGTTGGGAGGTGGGGCCGTAAGGAGAGGTGATTAGGTAATCCGGGTTTTGTCCCGGCAGCTAAGTTAGACAGAAATTAATATAGTCAGAGAGGCAATGGGCGCTCAAGGAAGTCAGTGAAAAACAGACATCAGAACTGTGGTTGGAGGCACATTTGAAGAAGGTGAGGCCTCAGGATAAAGATGCAATGGTCAGGCCTACATGCCTCCCTAAAGGATAAACAGTAACTTGATACTATACTGTAATTAATACCTAGTCCAGTAAGTCCAGGTAGACATCAGTCACCCAGGCGGGTGACCAGAGCATCTA